AAAATAATATAAAAAAACAACAAAAAAAAAAAAAAAAAAAAAAAAAAGCCTGGCGAAGAACCCAACCATATGCAGTTGTCAGTACCGCAGCTGCGGGTTTCATCTTCGGTGGAACTCCCCACAGGACCACGGAGCGTGTGAGGGGTGGTGTGCCGAGATGGGTGCCACTGGGGCAGTCGGTGAAGCTCCCTATGGGGACATGAAACATGCGCGGGGCGTGCCGACATGGATGGCGGAAACGCATGTGAGGGCCGCCACTGGGGCCTCCAGTGGAGCTCCCTATGGGTCCCCGAAGATGCTGCTGCGGGGGGGGTGCCGGGAGGGTGGCGGAGACGCATGTAAGCGCCGCTACTGGGGCCTTCGGTGGAGCTCCCTATGGGGCCACGAAGCGCGTGAGGGGTGTACTGGGATGTGTGGCGGGGACGCATGTGAGCGCCGCCACTGGGACCTTCGGTGCAGCTCCGTATGGGGCCACGAAACGTGTGAGGGGTGTGCCGAATCGGGTGCGGGTGGTGACGCATGCGGGCGGTGCCACTGGGGCCTTCGGCGCAGCTCCCTATGGGGCCACGAAACCTGTTGTTGTGAGGGGCGTGCCGGGATGGGTGGCCGGGACGCATGTGAGCGCGGTCGCTGGGCCCTTCGGTGGAGCTCCCTATGGGGCCACGAAACGTGTGAGGGGTGTGCCGAATTGGGTGGGTGTGGGTGACGCATGTGAGCGCCGCCACTGGGGCCTCCGGTGGATGATGGGGCCACGAGACCTGTGAGGGATGTGCCGAATTGGGTGTGCGGGACGCATGCGCATGTGAGCGCTGCCACTGGGGCCTTTGGTGGAGCTCCCTATGGGGCCACGAAACGTGTGAGGGGTGTGCCGAAATGGGTGTGCGGGACGCATGCGGGCGGCAGCGCTGGGGCGAAGGGTGGAGCTCCCTATGGGGCCACGAGGCGTGTGAGGGGTGTGCCGAATTGGGTGTGCGGGACGCATGCGGACGGCAGCACTGGGGCCTTCGGTGGAGCTCCCTATAGGGCCACGAAACGTGTGAGGGGTGTGCCGAAATGGCTGTGCGGGACGCGTGCGGGCGGCAGCGCTGGGGCCTTCGGTGGAGGGGAGCTCCCTATGGGGCCACGAAACGTGTGAGGGGTGTGCCGAAATGGGTGTGCGGGACGCATGCGGGCGGCAGCACTGGGGCCTTCGGCGGAGCTCCCTATGGGGCCACGAAACGCTGTACTGGGTGGGCGAAACGCAAGGAAGAGGGGGAGGAGGGAGGAGGAGAGGAGAACGCGGGGACCGTCTCTTCAAAACGAGGACCCAACACCACAGGATGGTTGGGAAAAAAACGCCCTGGGGAAAGAGAGCTCCGGGGATCGCGATTTTATTAAACAAAAAAAGCGCATGTCTGGGGAGGCAACTCCCAGGAGGCCTTCGTGAGAAAGACTGTGAGGGCTAGTAGGCCCGAGCATTAGGGGCCACCAGAAGCCGGATTGGCCCAGATTCAGGTCAGGATTCGGCTTGGAACTAGGTCGGATCGAGCGGGATCGAGCGGGATTGCGCGGGATTGCACGGGCTTTGTGCCAGAACAGGCCGGTCACCAAACACGGACATACCTTGGCGGCGCGCACACGGGGGTGGGGGGAGGGGGGAGGGTTTCTTAGAAGCACCCCTGCTTCTTAGAAGGCGCGGGCCTTCTTTGTAGATGTGATACTGGCGCCTTCTAAGAGGCAGCCTCCTTCTAAGAAGCCTTCCCCCCTCCCCCTACCCCCTTGTGCGCGCCGCCAAATACCAGCGCCGACGCTGAAGTCGTCATTCCAGGAGCTGCATCCCGAGAGTCTGCGGCGGGCTCCCGCCGCGCTGGCGTCGGCGCTGGTGTCCGACACCGCGCGGGTCGCTCGACCGCGAGCGGCCGCGGCCTTCAGACAGCGCACTACCAGCCTGGAACATATCCCTATCCCTAAGCTGGGCAGCGCCTCCTCGCGATGCCAATCTTAGGGAAAACTCCTTTTGAATCCTTTAGGGCGCATCCCTACGACTTTAGTAGTTTTAGTAATTGGGAAATCCTCCTGGAAATCGATGAATCTTAAATTTTAGTAGTTTTTCAGGGAGCATCCCTAGGATTGTCGTCGCCCTTTGGCGCGCCAATTCGTAGGGATGGGGATCAGCTCGAAGCTGGCGAGCGCCGGGCTGCTCGACGTCGGCCGATGCCAAGCCGCTGGCGGCGCTCCACCCTGCACGCCCGCGCGCTGGGGCCGCCGCCGCGCCCCCGCGGCGCAGACCTGCCGGCTGCCGGGCCCCCGTGAAACCCCCCCCCCCCGGGGCTATTCACGAGGGCTGCACGTAAGGGTGACCCTGGGTAAAAGTGACCTTTGGTGCGCGGCTTTTTGGGGGGCGCGAGGAGGCCAAACACAAGCGCGCAAGACGCTGATATCGCAACGAGCGCGGCGATCGGGGGGCCCCATTTGGCCCGCACCAAGGGTCACTCCGGCGAAAGGTCACTCTTACGTCTAGTCGACTCGCGAGGGCTGCTCCCGCGCGAGACCCCCCCGGGAGCGACGTCCACGAGAACTTTTTTTGCTGGTCTGCGGGGCGAGAGCGAGCCGCTTCCGGTAAAAGCTAATTAGGCGGGCTGCGCACAGCTCTCATTGGGGAGACAGGGCACAGGCGGGCGGGGCCTCAGGCGGCCGGGGGGCGGGCCGGGGTGCAGGCGGTGCCGAAGAGCTTGCACAGGAAAAGGAACGCCTTGGACAGGAGCCGGAACGTGTACGAGAGCAGATGAGCAGCCGAGAACCCCCCGGGCGACTCGGCTGCTCGGACCCACACCACCCCTGGGCGAGCCGGTCCTTCCTGGAGCCCCTCCGTCGTCTCCCCGTCCCCCGCGCCCGCGCCTCAGAGAGAGAGGGACGGCGTTCTCCACTCTGGGCAGGGACTGCTCATCTCGGGCATGCCCTCTGAACTCCTTCTGGGCGCCCTCCTGACCCCGCTTCTCAGACACGCCAGTTCTTGTGTTCGCAGCCATCCTGTGGAGTTGGGCCCTCGTTTTGAAAGACAGCGCCCCGCGTCCTCTCCTCCTCATCTCCTCCGCCCCATCATACCTCCTCCCATCCTTGCCTCTGCCCACCGCAAGCCAACCATTTCGGCACACTCCTCACAAACTTCGTGGCATAGGGAGCTCCACCTAAGCCCCAGCGGCAGAGCTCGCATGCGTCCCCCCAACCAGTACAGCGCTTCGCGGCCCCATAGGGAACTCCACCGAAGGCCCCAGTGGCAAAGTTCGCATGCGTCACCCCACCCAGTACAGCGCTTCGTGGCCACATACGGAGCTCCACCGAAGACCCTACTGGCAAAGTTCGCCTGCGCACCCCCCACCCAGTACAGCGCTTCGTGGCCCCATAGTGAGCTCCACCGAAGGCCCCACTGGCAAAGTTCGCCTGCGCCCCCCCTCGCTTTGTGGCCCTATAGTGAGCTCCACCGAAGGCCTCAGGGGCAAAGTTCGCCTGCGTCTCCGGTACTCAGTACAGCGCTCCGTGGCCCCATAGGCAGCTCCACCCACGGCCCAGTGGCCGCGTCCGCATGCGTCCCTCCCAACCAGTACAGCGCTTTCGTGGCCCCATAGAGAGCCCCACCGAAGTCCCGAGTCGCAGTGCTCACATTGCGCCTCCCCCACCGAGTACAACGCTTCGTGGCGCCATAGTGAACTCCATCGAAGGCCCCAGTGGCAAAATTCGCCTGCGTCTCCCCCATCCATTAAAGCGTTTCGTGGCCCTGCAGGGAGCTCCACCGAAGGCCCCAGTGACCGCGGCCGCATGCGTCCCGCCCGACCCCACCCACTACAGCATTTCATGGCCCCTCAGGGAGCTCCGCCGAAGGCCCCAGTGGCAAAGTTCCCGTGCGTCCCCCCAACCCAATACAACGCTTCCTCGCCCCATACGGAACTCAACAGAAAAACCCAGTGGCCGCGGTCGCATGCGTCTCCACCCATTAAGGCACACCCCATCCCGCGCTTCGTGGCCCCCTAGGGAGCTCCACCGAACGCGGTACCACCAACAACGCGGTACTCACAATTGCATATGGTTGGGTCCCTCGCCTGGGCAATTTTCAACACGCGGTCCTCCAAAGCCCCGACCCTTTCCCCAGGGGCGGGCTTATATCCCGAGCCACTTGTTGACGGTCCTGGGACCCGGCGAAGGGCCCCCAGAGGCCATGACGGGCCAAACACCTCGCGTCGTGACACACGATCACGACGCGAGTATGTCTGCGGCCGCACCCTTCAGCAGTGCAAAAACACAGGCATGCGGCCCAACACACACACACACACACACTTAAAAGCAAGCGGCGCAGAGGAGCCTCAGGGGCGGTAAATACACACAAGAAAAACTGAGAGTCTCTGCCGCCCAGGCCGCCGAGAAGTCGAAACACGTGGCCACGCCCTCGCCGCGGGCGTTCGCCTCGCGCACCAGCGAGGCCCCGACGCTCCCGGCCCCGCCCGCTGCCAGCCGGGCGAGCGCCGCGCCCGTCAGCGGCGCGCGCGGCGGCGCCCCCGGGCCGGCCGAAGCCGGGGCCGCGGGCGCGCCGAAGTGGAAGCTGGCGGCCGCCCGCGCCGCGCTGGAGGCCGAGGGCACCCCGAAGCCGCCCGTGAGCTCCCGGGCGGGCGCTCGCCGGCCCCTGCGGCGGGCGCCGGGGCTGCTGCAGGGAAGAGAAAGGCCATCCCCCAAACGAAGTGCCCCGACAAGCGAAGCCGTGTGGCAAACGCACCCGAGGTCCTGTTGCTCCCAGCGTGCTGAAGGACCCCATCCCAGAAATAATTTCGAGCATCCAGAAAAGTATCGAAGCAGTGTCGAACGAGCATCGCCTCCCAGGGCCCGACACGTGAGAACCCTCAAGTTTCGGTACTTGCTTGCTGCTCAAACTCTGGTGCTCAACAGGCCACGGTGGGTGTGAACACCACACATAGGCCCAGGGAAGGAGCCGAACAGGGCCAGGCGGTCCGGTACACTCCCGGGGCCGCCTCGTGCGCGCCGCCTGCCGGGGTCGGGGTGGCTTTCCCCTCCCCGGATGCTGCTGGAGCTGCTGCGGCGGAGGCGCAGCCCGGGGGCGGAGCCGCTGCTGCTGGCCCCGCGGCGGCGCGAGCGGGACGCGCTGCCGCGCGCCGCGGCCTTCCCCTCGGCCGCCTCGGCCGCGCGCCTCTTCCGAGGAGGGGCGCCCCCGGACCCCGCGCTGCGGGGCCGGCGCTTAGGCTCGCTCTCGGGCTCGGACTGGCTGGAGCCGCGGCGCCGCTTCTCCTGCCTCGCAGCCTTCTTCTTCGTCTTCTCCTCGCCCTCGCTGCTCGCGGGGAGCCTCCGCGGAGCGTCCTTCGCAGCCCTCTTCTCGCCTTTTGCTGACCCCGCCGACCCCCTTCGGGACCACCCGGCGCGAGGGGTCCCCGCCACCCACGAAAATCCTCCCCCCCAAAGCTCTGATGACTTTGAAGCGGGAAGGGGGGAGCCGGAGAGCCCTCCGACAGCCCCAAGAAGCCCCCCAAAAAAAGTCCTGGCGAAGGACCCAACTATATGCAGTTGAGTATAACGCAATTGCGAACATCGTCTTCGGTGGAGCTGCCACTCGGTGGAGCTCCCTATGGGGCCACGAAACACTCGAGGGGTGCCCCGAATTGGAGGGGGGTGCATGGCGCAAATTAGTACTGCCACTGAGGCGTTCGATGGAGATCCCAATGATGCCACAAAACGCGGCGTGAGAGTTGCCCCAACATGGGCGGGGGGGACGCGTGTGAGCACTGCTGTCAGGGCCTGCGGTGGAGCTCCCTAAAAATTCCACAATGCGCTGCAAGGGGTGTTCCGAAGATGGCAGGGGAGACGCATGTGAACACTGCCGGTGGGGTCTTCGGCGGAGCTCCCCATGGTTCCACGAAACGTGTGCGGGTGTGTCGAAATTAGCGGGGGGGGCGCATGTGAGCACTGCAACTGGGGCCTTCGGTGGAGTTCCCTTTATGGGGGCAAGAACGTGTGAGGGGCATGCCGAAATAAAAAGGCAGGGGAGATGCATGCGAGCACTGTCAGTGGGGCCTTCGGTGGAAATCCATAATGGCAGCATGAAACGTGTGAGGGGTGTGTGCCGAAATGGGTCGGGGGGGCGCATGTGAGAATTCTGTGGAACTCCCTATGGGAACACGAAACGTGTGAGGGGTGTGCCAAAATGGGCGGGGGGAACGCATGTGAGCAGGACCGCTGGGGCTTTCGATGGAGCTCCGTATTGGGCCACGAATGGCTGGAGTGGTGTCCCGAAATGGGCAGAGGGCACTCATGTGAACACTGCCACTGGGGCCTTCGGCAGAGCTCCCAATGGGGCCACGAGACGTGTGAGGGGTGTCCCGAAATGGGTGGGGGGCAAATGCGGCCACTGCTACTGGGGGGCCTTCGGCGGAGCTCCCTGTAGGGCCACGAAGAGTGTGAGGGTTGTGCCGACATGGAGAGGGGAGACGCATGTCGCCAATGCCACTTGGGCGATTCGATGGGGTTCCCTATGGGGGAAACGAAACGTATGACTGGGGTGCCGAAATCGGTGGGGGGGACGCATGTGGTCACTGCAACTGGGGCATTCGGCAGAGCTCCCTATGGGGCCACGAAACGCGTAAAGGGTGTCCCGAAATGGACGCGGGGGGCACATGTGGACACTGCTACTGGGGCCTTCGGCTGAGCTCCCTTCAGGGCCACGAAACGCGTGAGGGGTGTGCCGAAACGGGCGCGGGGGACGCATGTGAGCACTGCCACCGGGGCTTTCGGTAGAGCCCCATGTGGCGCCATGAAACGTGCGAGGGGTGTCCCAACATGGGCAGGGGTACGCATGCGAACTTTGCCACTGGAGCCTCAGTAGAGCTCCCCATGAGTCAGGCCACGAAACGTGAGGGGTGAGCCAAACTGGTTGGGGGACGCATGTGGCCACTGCGGTGGAGCTCCCGTGAGACCGCGGGAGTGTGAGCGGTGCCCCGAAACAGATATATGCGGAGGGCAGAGGCAGGACAGGTAGGAAGTTGAGGAGGAAGCAGACGGGAGGAACGCGGGGCGCGGTCCCTCCAAAACGAGGACCCAGCACCACAGGATGGTCAGGAAGCATCCCAGCAGAACACCCTCCTAATAGCAGCAAAGGTGCAGCGGCGGGTCGAGTGGTGGGAGGTCGGCCAGTGACAACGTGCATTCCTGCGTATCCCCTAGGGGGATGTCCAGGAACGCTGGCAGGCGGCACGGGGGTAAGAGCACGGCCGTGTGTAGTACGAGCGTGATCGTCCAGGCCAGAAATATAGCCGACGTTGAGGCGAGAGCGCGATTGCTGACGGCCGGGTGCACCTCAGCTTATGTGTTACCGGGGAACGCGGCCGTCAGGACCAGAAAAAGTAGCCAGCATCGAGCTCCTGAGTTAAGGTGCGAGGAAATCTCCAGCGAAACGGCTGCGGCACCAGGCGATCTTGGGCTCACAGTCCACCCTGCAGCACGAGTCTCTTGTGATCCATTCAGCCTCCACAAGAACCCTCCAGCGAAGCGCTATCAAGGAACTGTCGCCTCCCTTCTTCCGAGGCGAAGAGGAGGAGCCGCGCACGACACGGACGGCGGGCTCCAGCCCCACGGCCGACGCGCCAAGGGTGGTCTCGACCGCCGAGCTAACGGGATGGAAGGCCCCTCTGGCCGTGCACTCCGCGAAGCGTTGTGCATCCTTGCCCGGTTTGTCCCTCGGTGCTTCCTTTGTTGCACCCTTCTTTCGTGGCTCGTCCGTCGCAGGCTTCCCCTCCTTCGCTGGGTCCGTGTCTTTTCTGTCCTTCGCGGCTTCCTTCTTGACGTCGTCCTTCTGCCGCTCGTCCTTCGCGTCCTTCTTCCCGTCTTTCTGCGAGACCTTCACTTTGCTGGCCCTTGCTGCTTCCTTGTTTGCATCGCCCTTGCTGGTGCGGCCATTGGCTTTCGTTGCGTCCTTCTGGTTCTCTTTGCCCACTTTCGTTTCCTTCTTCTGGGTTTGCTTCGGTTGGCTACTCTTCTCTTGGTGTTTCTCCGCTTTACCATCCTTCTTGACCTCCTTTTTCTTCCCAGCGTCGGAAGCCGTGTTCCCGTTCCTGCCACTTTCCTTCTGGCCGTCCTCTTTGTTCACAGCCCGAGTTTTCTCCGCGCCATCGCCGGTCTGGCCCTTCCGCGTCCCGTCGTGCCTCTTCGTCTTGCTGTCGCCTGAATCACAGCTGGCTCTTCCATCCGCCACCGCGCGCTGCCGCGGCTGGTGTGCGTGTCGGTCCCCCTGCTCTGTTCTGAGCTCTGCGCCCTGTGCACCCACCGCGTCCTGGCGAATAGACATCCACGCTTGTTCTAAGCCCTAAGCCCGTAGGCATCAGAACTCCCGAAGCAAAGCCACAGAAAAAGCGAAGCTCACAGCAGGAAGCTCGACGGACGCACCCTCTGGGCGGCCCCCACGGGTTCCCTGGGCTGCTCCGCCACCAACTTTGACATTGTCCGGGACAACCCACTACCATGTTGTTGAGACGGCCCCCTGGGTCCTGAGGTAACCTCCACGGGTTTCTGAAACCCTCGCAAAGCTCGCCAGACTGCCCACGGAGACCCCAGGATCCCATTCGAAGATGGCACACAACTCCCTAGGAGACCCGGACGTAGACCCAATAGCAACAACAACAACAACAACAACAACAACCACAACCACAACCACAACAACAACAACAACAACAACAACAACAACAACAACAATCATTTTACCCGAACGCTCAGTGTTCTCCCCAGTGCCAGGGTTTTCTTGCGACACCAGCCAATACCCCCACTTCGTGGGGGGGCCGTTCAAGCTCTACCAAATATCCAAACGACTCTTCGAGACCACCCACACCCAGCTTCCCGCCCTATGACGTTGGGACACTTCACTTCGTGGCGTGCGGACGACCCTGGCTACTACACTGGCGTGGGGTACACACCCACAGAGGTTGATCACATCTGTTACATATGATGTGGTACACGGTACACGTGAGATGGTACGCAGTGCCAAGATAGTTGGTCACATTTTTGGGGCAAATTCGTGGGGATGCGATTACAGAAGTACATGTGTTACACTGATGTTATACAGTCCCAAGGATGACGCATGCATTGCTCATAGACTCATGGCGCTACGATCCTAACTCTCAGTGCCCAACGCGCGCGTGCACAGCCAGACGGAGGGAGAGAAACACATGTATACAAGGTTCGTGACATACGCACGGTCCACCATGTTGTAAACGATCGCATGCACGGTAAGTTCTGAAATTATACGCACGTACAAGCAGACATGCGAGGGAGAAAGGGAGATGGCCATCGACAGTTCCAATACGGCTCCAAGGCGGAAGAGGGGGAGGAGGAGCAGGACAAGGAGGAAAGGAGAGAAGCGAGAAAGGAAGAACGCAGACGGCGCGGCTCTGGACACAAAGGGGTGCCATACTTTCTCCTGCTTTCGCAAACAGGTCCAGTCACACGTAGGGGTATACTCAACCGAATGGTCTTCGCATCCAGAAGCATACTAAAGGCGCGACGCATCGTCGTCTGCGATGGCGCGGAGCGGGCGCGTGGGTGCCCGGCTGCCTGGCTGATACACGTGCGGGCCTGGCTGATACCCGTGCGGTCCCAGATGCCCAATGAGATTGCCGATACGCCTGCTGGCGGGAAGGCCGGTGCTTGCATACGGCAGTGCTACCGCGAGCACGTTGTGGACCTGCGGTGGCAAGGCCTGGTAATCGAGCATGTTCGGAAGCTCGTCGCTCTGACCATACGACCGCCATACGGGCAACCACCACCACTGGTCTTGACGCGGATACGTGATCTCTGTGCCGACCTCAGGGGATACGTTCCAAAGGGCCATTTTCTGCGGGTCCGTACCCATGAAGGCCGCGTGGTACGCAATGAATACGTCCAAGGTGGCCAGGGCCCTGTAGGAGAGGCCGGATACGATCTCCGCATGAATGGGAATAGCGAGCTGACCGAGCAAATACCGCATACTGCGATACACCCACTGGCCCGGGTGGACGAAGAGGTTGGCTTTCCAGGCGACGATACTGCAGTAGCCACGCCGTTGCGACCCTATCTGGCACATACAGTGGTGGATCCAACTGTCGGAGCGCCCGGCATAATTTGAAAGCGGTATTATACTCAATGCCCAGGTGGCGGATGGCAGAGCCGTGCTGCTCCTCCAGCTCCTTGGCGCTAGAAATACTGACCGTGCCAGTCACAACCCGATACTTGGCCCACCAAGTCTTGCACGCCTGGTGACTAGCATTGATACCCTTTGCCCGGAGCGCCTGATGCAAATAATACGCACTCTCGCAGTCGGCCAAGGGAGGCCGCGACAGCTCAGGGCCATACTGCTCGTGAAGGTCTTTCGCCGTCAAAGCCATGATCCAAGAACACAGGCGATACCTTGATCCGAGATGGCTACGGATATGAGCGTGAGAGGAAGGGGGGAAGCCTCCTGGGGCCGCTGGGGGTCCTCTTGGGGAAGGGGGGAAGCCTCCTGGCGCCGCATGGGGTCCTCTTGAGAGGCTTTGGGGGGCTTCTTGAAAGCATGTTGGGGCCTCTTGGGGGCTTATTGGATCCTCCCGGAGGACTCTTGGAGCCGCTTGGACGCCTCCTGGGGCCATCTTGGGGGCCTCTTGGAGCCAACTTGGAGCCTCTTTGGAACCTCTTGGGGGCCTCTTGGAGTCCTCTTGGGGCCTCTTGGGACCATCTTGGGCGCCTCTTGCGGCCTCATGGGCGCCTCTTGGGGCCATCTTGAGCGCCTCTTGGGGCCATCTTGGGTTTTAAAGATTCATGAAGAGCCCGCGGGTGGATTTTGATATTTTTCGGATGAGAAAGTCTTGCGTTTGCATATGTTTTCGGAACATCGCATCTTGAAATTATTGAAATCACATTATGTTTGGCAGGATTTCGGCACGCGCGCGCGGCGGCCGCGCGCATGTGCACTTCGTGTCATTTTTTGCAAGGGATGGTGGCCCTCGTAGGCTCGCAACCGTTGTTGCAGAAGGTCGAAGCACCTGAAAAGGTTCCTCGCAAAGGCCCTTTTAACAGAAATGTTTAAAATCTGGTGGGTTTCCTAGGAATCCGCAAGAGCGCGCGGAAGGACATTTTGACAATTTTTTCTGAGAAAACCATTGGGTTTTTGATGTTTTTATGTTAAAATCGTTACGAAACCTAAGGTTTTGGAAGGATTTCGTCTTGCGCGCACGAATGTCCACTTTACCTTATTTTTTGCAAGGGATTCTTGCAATTTGATCAAGTAAAAACAAGAATTTTCATTTTCTATTGTTTTTTGCAAGGGAAAACGAGCGTCAACAAAAAACCGGATCCGGAGCTCATCCACTTTTCTGAAGCTTTCGCGAAAAAATGATGAAAATGTAGCTGCGGCCTAGGCGCGGCGCAGAGGTCGCGCACCAGGGGTCCCAACAATAATAATTCTTTAGAAGGAATAATGTTCAACAACAATCATTTAAGCACTGGGGACACTCCGTTCTCACCAGTGCCAGGGTTTTCATAGGAGGCGGGCAATACCCCCACTTTGTGGGGGGGCCGGTTCAAGCTCTACCAAATTTCCAAACGACTCTTCGCCACCACCCACACCCAGCTTCCCGCCCTATGACGTTCGGACACTTCACTTCGTGGCATGCGGACGACCGTGGCTACTATTCAGGGCCCCGCGGCCGACGACGACGGCGTGCGCGCGCGAAGAAAAAACGAATGTGTCCCGCATGGTATTATTTGACAGGGATGATGGCCCTGGCAGGTGCGCAACCGTTGTCGCAGAAGTTCGAAAAAGTTGCTCGCAAAAGCCCGTTTGACAGAAATGTTTAAAAAGTGTTGGGTTTCCTACGAATCCGCAAGAGCGCGCGGGATGAGATTTTGACATTTTTTTGTTGAAAAACCATTGGTTTTTTGATGTTTTTATGTTAAAATCGCTCCGAACACTAAGCTTTTGGAAGGATTTCGTCTTGCGCGCGCGAATGTCCACTTTACCTTATTTTTTGCAAGGGATTCTTGAAATTTGATTATATTAGAACAAGAAATGTCATTTTATAGTGTTTTTTGCAAGGGAAAGCGGGGGGGAACAAAACAACCGGATCTTGATCACATCGAATTACCTGAGGCTTCCTCACGAAAATGATGAAAATGTAGCTGCGGCCTAGGCGGCGCAGGGGGGCCGTGCACCAGGGGCCCCAACAATAATTATTATTTAGAATTAATAATGTTCAACAACCACCACGACAACGACGACGACAACGACAACCACAACAACAACAACAACAACAACAACAACAACAACAACAACAACAACAGCAGCAGCAGCAGCAGCAGCAGCAGCAGCAGAAGCAACAACGACAACAACGACAACAACAACAACAACAACAACAACAACAACCGCAGCAGCAGCAGCAACAACAGCAACAACCACTACAATAGCAGCAGCAGCAGCAGCAACATCAACCACAAAAAAAACACAACACCAACAACCACAACAACAACCACCACCACCACCGCACTAACATCAACAATTACAACAACAACAACAACAACAAAAAAAAAAAAAAAAAAAAAAAAAAAAAAAAAAAAAAAAAAAAAAAAAAAAAAAAAAAAAAAAAAAAAAAAAAAAACACAACAACAACCACAACCACAACCACAACAATAACAGCATAAACAACATCAGCATCAACACCAACATCTGCATCAACAACAGAAACAACAACAACAACAACAACAACAACAGCAGCAGCAGCAGCAGCAGCAGCAGCAACAGCAACAGCAACAACAACAAGGGAACGCCGGCTGTCTGAGCCCCTTCCAATGCGGCGAGCTTCCCCGTCGCTCCCCACAGGACGCACGCCGGGTTCCTGACGCCCCCTCTGGGGAAGGGGCAGGGCGGGCGGGGGCACCGCCTCGCATCGCACGGGCTTCCAGGCCAGCCTCCGATAAGAATGAATTCGATTGCCAGATCCCATCGACGAGGGCATGGCGCCTACAAGCGCCGAAAGTTCCCAGGCCGTGTCGCCCCCACGCAAGCTCGGCATCTACTCAACCCATAATGAGGAATCCCTACTACGGAACCCTTTTACTCAGGAATCCGGACACAGATAGTCCGCGTCAGGAATCCCCTCGATGAGAATCTCTTCGCTCGCGAATCCATTCTTGGATGCCCGCTTGAAGCTGCGACGTTTGGAACCACTGCGCTGAA